TATTTACAAATTAATTATTCAATTTCAGTTACTTTTCTTATAACGTAGAACAGTAAATAAAGAAATATAGAAAAAAATTATCTCTACTACTTATGATTGTAAGGAAGTTTGTACTCGCTTGCCGCATCTGGCTTACTGTACTTTCACACATGGAGGATGCAAAACAAAATAACAATTTTAGGTTTTATATATGCATTTTGAAATTAAAAAAATATAAATTACTCTACCAATGTCACAGAATTCCACTGTAATTTATCAAGCTCATTAACTAATCTTTATTTTGGTCAAAGAAAATATTGTTTTTCTAACACCATTTTCTCTTACCCTTTCCTTCCGAGATTGGGAGCAAAAGATTAATCTTGGGAGATAGACACCTTGAATAGGCTGAGAAAACCACATGGAGGAAATTCTTAATTTTTTATTGGTTATAAACACATGACAGAGTGATGCGGGTGTATGTAAGCAAGTATTTCCAGAAACTGAAGAGGAGGGTGGGGCCACTGTGTTTGATTCATTAAATATAGTAATATCTCGACAAATAGAAAAGATAGAAGGTTATTTTATATTCTAGCTTGTTAATATTGGTAAATAGAGCTTTTAGTTTGTAAGAAACAACAGACTTTGTTTTTGAACATCAAATACATTTAATTTGAACCAAAGCTGCATTCAACATACTAGATGACACACAAAAACCAATATTTAGGATTTTTGTTTTATATTTACTTTAAAATTAAGAAATTAGCTAATGTATAATATTAAAAATTGAATTATAATCTACAATTTCATGCCAAACTTATGAAATATATTCATAAAATAGTAGTTCAATAAAATGTTGACATGCCCTTTGACCCCTGACCATAGGAAAACCCATAACGATGGGGTTAAAAAGTGTTGATGATGAGAGTTAAAAGTAGAATAAGACCAGACATGGAAAAAATTCAATGTGATACAAGAAATGCTACCTTTATGCACAAATGTTTTTGGAGAGTGCAAAAGAAATGAAGGACCTCTTCCTCTGTTCTACTGATTATACCTAAACTTTTGATAAGAGTCAACATATGGAATAAATGAAAATGCTGGAAGAACTGGACAATGATAGTAAAGATTTGAGACTTTTAAGAAACTTCTATTGAGACCAAACTGTAGCAGTGCAGATAGAAAATTAAATAAGTGATTTCAGAAAAGAAGTGTGGTGTGAGGCAAGGCTGTGTCTTTTCACCCGACTTATTTAACTTGTACAGTGAGAAAATCCTGAAGGAGAGTGAGGATTTATCAGAGATATTCATTGGTGGACAGAATTTGAAGAACTTGCATTATGCTGATGACACAAATTTATCAGCTGATTCAGAAAAAAAGCTGGAAAAAAAATTAGATAAAGTTGTTAGTAAAAGGTAGAAGAGTTTAAGTACCAACTGTAGGAAAACAGAATGCATGGTAATTACAAAAAAGAAGATAATTTCTGTATGTAATGTCAAAGTAGATACTGTATTTTTCGGAATATAAGACGCACCCTTATTTTGAAGACAAAGTTTTGTGGAAAAAAAGCTACAGTCGCATTTGAAAGATTTTTATTGAACAAAAATTCAATTTGATACTTTAAAAATTAGTATATATTGTTCTAAACACAAAAGAGCTGAAAACATCAAAATAAGAAAATAAAATACCGTAAATCAAAAAAGGTTTACTGTTATTTAGTTAGGTTCAAAACCTACAAAATCTTCATTTCTTTCACTGTTGCTTGGTAAAGAATCATTGGATCCAATATTATAGTCAAAGAGAATGTCATCCTCGGTCCCATCCATTGCATTACTGATACCACATTTCTTAAATGACTTAATCACTATATCACTTCTTACTTTTCCCACGAATTCTTCACCCACATGAACCGATAACACCACGATGTATGACCAGTAAAATATCCTAAACTATAATCACATGCAATCCTCTTTGCTTTAAAAATTATCATATTTGTAGAAACGGATAGTTCTTTCCTTCTCTGATCCACAACCCATTCGTACAGTTTATTTTAGAGATCTTGCCATTTTGTTTTTTTCCTCGGAAATTGCGTTTATCACTTTTAATCATTTTCAATTCTTCTTCTTGTTCGCGCCAGCAATGAATCATTTTTTCGTTTGGTGGAAGACCAAAATATCTTTTGGCAGCTCTGTTTCCATGCTCTTTTGCATAATTAATCACACTTAATTTAAATTTGTGTATGACAGTCTCTTTTCTTTAGACATCATAAGGGGTGACAAAATAGAACGAAAAATGAAGAAATAACTATTTTGCTCCCGAGGCCTAAGATACGGTACTTTGTCTTTCGGTGATGCATCCAACTT